TAGGATTCACTCCTGTCCAAAAAGCCGAGAAACTGTCCGAATTTATCATTCCGACCTTGGAGCGCTGCTCAGAGACGACAAAGGAAATATGAGGTACTGTTTCAGAATCTTTCGCTCTTAGATAGAACGGTTTGTTTAACACCTGGTCGACCCACTGGCACAAAATAATGTAGTATTGGTGGAAATAAATTTGTTTAAGTTTGATTTTTATCCAGATCTCTAAAGTCAGTCGTGATGTGAAGATGGAAGATATGCCACTAGAAGATGGCGAGTTCTGTTGGACTACGTTTACGAATATAATCAAGCCTCTGTTTATGCCAATGGAACCTCAAGCTAGGTGGCCATAGTGCAATTGTCTAGTTTATTTCCACTTGGCTGTTCGTTTATTCGTGAAAATTTTAGGTACACAGCTACGAACCATTTTGCCGACTATTTAAAGAACGGCTTCGCAAATAACAAATAACTCATGGAGTTATTTAAATTGAGCGGCAGGATGTTGTGTTATTTCTTGATTGTTGATCTTTATGTCGATCTAATGGAAAAGTTTCATTAATAATTTTCTGATATTTATTTATACTAATTGTTTACTAAATATAATCCTCACGGTATCTCAAAAGAATTAAACCAACATACACAGGAAGATCGACTTTTCAAGGTTGTAAGTTGATGATCAACGATTTCATTTTGGCTCGCACTTGTTTGTATTCTATATGACTCATTACACATGGAGAAGTTCGATATACTGTTTTTTGGCAATCCAGAGCTTAAAAGAGGAAGCAGTCGTTTTTCTCCTTCTCTCTTTCTCGCCACTGTTTGGCCACACCTTTCTAAACCTGTTTGTTTGTCTATGTCATTGTCATTGTTTGTCATGTCAACTTTTCTTTCTTTGCGTATTTATGAATTCTGTTCTTGAAGTGGTTTGTAAAATATTTTAATAGCCTCCGTTAGAATATGTTTCTGTCGTATGCGGTCAGGAAGCTGTTTTGTCTATCTGACAGTCGTAAGTGTCAGCGAAACGACCACATGTACTTCGAGGGCACTGTGACGTACATAATACTTTTGAGATTGAGAATCTATATGCTTTTTTTTTCGTAATACCATATTTCGTTCCATTTGAACAACTTTAGGAGAGGATGCTCATTAAAGGGAAACATACTTGATCAGCATTGAGCATTTTGGCGAGAAAAGATAACAGAGCTTCAGGTTATCCAGTATAGTTATCATGATTGTTTAGAGGTCTTTATAGATCATCCTGTCATAATTTTCGAGCTCAGCAGCTTCGTCTACTCGTTTTGTTTTACAAACATTGCCTGTAGATGGAGGTCCGGCTGGTGTGTCCTTATGTGGCTCGACCTATCTGTTGTCTTCTCTAAGTAATAGAATTTTAGTAAGAGATGGGCATGGTATTTCCTAGAATTCAATAACAACCATACCAATACCGTGGTATTCACCATGGCTGTCAATATTCCTTTGGATTGAAGATTTGTTGCTTTACGGTTAAGATTCTTCCAGGACCACACCGCTTCAGGCGATTAGCCAAAGGTACTGACCGAACTATATCTAGGGTAGCATGCTACTTTTAGATCTAGGCTATTCTTTTCACGTAAGTCGTGGCGAGGACTGAAAAAGTGGACGAAACGCAGAGATTGTGGTCGTCGAGTTTTCATTGTGTATTTGTTGCTTGAGGGGTTGAAATAAATGATGGTCTAAAAGCACTTTGAGCGGAAAGGTGGGACGAAGTACAATAGTTGTGCCTATTTTCTGCAGTGGTCCAGTAATCAGTCCTATGAGGTTGAAGTCTGCTGTCATGCAAACGCCGAACCGAGTGGGATGGAAGACGTTCATCTTCTTTTTATTTCCGGAAAGTCTCTAGATACCGTACTCTGCGGGCATCATATGATGCATCACGTTGCAACTTTCATTACTGGAATTCAATGAGTTCCTGGGTTCTCTTTAGTATGGGGCCGAAAATAAGGCGCGTGTGACGCAGTGGTCGAAGGTGCTCCTCCCCCCCCCCCCCCCCCAATACACATGGGATCTGTTCCCGTGACCGTAGCCCACCAAACCTTCCGTCCCTCCAGGGTGGGGAAATTGGTACCAGACTTGTCTGGGAGAAGAGCAGCAGTAGCTCAATGCATCGGTAGGCCACTACGAGTGCAATTTGTAAAAGCCAGATATGTATCCAATGACCTCTAACGGTGCTTAATGAAGTGGAATGCATGGCGCATCCCTAAGGGATTGATCAACACCGAGAGCTTTATCCTTTATGGGACCGAAAAAGGAAACCTATTGTTGTCGTGGGGAACCAGCTTCCATCTCACATGTACTCGTAGATTCATAGGCACCGTTGTGGTCGTTTTGCGTCCACCGAGGCCTCATTCTGGAGCAGTGCGAAATTGCTTAATTGTAATATATATATATATATATATATATGTATATATATATATGTATATATATATATGTATATATATATATAAACATATATAAATTCGTAAAACACATGCATATAGTTTGTTTTATCAATGGGATCACCTGCCAATTGTATCACTTTGAACACATGGACTGTTGTGTCCCCACTGATATATCGAAATAATTCCTTATTGAAGGTGATTTTACCTCGAATCACGAGATAAAACCAATACAACGTTCACAGGTGATCATTTGAGATAGTAGACGAGTCCTCTGAATCGGTTTCCTTACGTAAAACCACTGGAGGGGTTTCACGAATTGACCACCCCATGCGGAACACGAGAGGAATATGTGAAGCCCAACGCAATTAGGGAAGTGTGAGAACATTTACTTCATAAACTACAGCATAAAAACATAATCGCTTCTCATATTCAGCCAACAGTGGGCAGTGAACAGTCGGAAAACCACAATGACTACAAACGAATAGTACTTGTACCATGAAGTTGTTGACTGAGATTAAGTGCAGGTAGTAGCAAGAGATTACCCAAACACCTAGAAAAGATCACATTGCTACGAGAGATCATACATCTAAAATATAGGACAGAAAGATTCGCAGGAACAATTTAAATGGAAGGAAATACTTACTGGTTCTCTTGATGCGATCTGATCTTCTTGTATGGAGAAGTGAGACCAATTCGGCAGAACTTTTCAGTCCTTCGATAAGCAGCTCGTAGACTTCGGTCGCGTCTTCTCTAATCTTCCAGTCACGTTTGGATAGGATTTCGCTCAGAATGTTCTCGTCATATACAGCTAGACGTTTTCTTCGTGGTCGACGACATGAATTCTTTTCCGGCTCAAGGCTGAATCGAATCTTCGCGCAAAGAAGGCGGTGATCAAAACCAGTACAGAATGACGGGACTACCGATGTGTCAAGTAGGCACCATCTTCTGTTTCTCAGAATGTGGTCGATCTTCGCATGGGTCATCCGTTAGGAGACTCCCATGTCCAGCGGCGGCTTTCTTTCTGCTGGAAAAACGAGTTTCCATATAAGAGACGTGCTGCAGACAGGAGTCCTGCGAGGCGGTTTCCATCTTCACTCTGGTTTCCTTCTTCCTAATCCAAAATTTCCGATCCTATATTTGCTCTCGTTACCCTTCCCTATTCTGGCGTTGAAGTCTCCGACAACAAATTTATGATGCTTCATCATTGTGAATAACTTCCTCCAACTGATAGTAGAACGTAACTAATTCGTGTTAATCAGCTGCGTCGGTCGGCGAGTAGCTATTTGTGATTCTGATCTGTTTATGACGCGTCATCGAAGACGGAGAACGGCTATGCGAGGGGAAAGGATCTCGTACGAGTCGACGAGAAGGACATGGGCTGGTGGACGACGAAGCCTACGCCGCCGACATTTCGTGACGAGACTTTTCCTTCGTGGGTGATGGGGGTTCCCTTATTTACTCGGTCTATATCGGTCTTCCTGATTTTTGTCTCTTGAAGTACAATTACATGGAATTTTATGCTATTTGCGGCTTCGAGAAAGGCGTGAAGATCGGCGTCTGTGGAGAGTAACTCCCACGACCGATTTTCTATTAACCTCGGCATTGACCAAGTAATTCTTCGTATTTTTGTTGAACAAACGCGAGGTGTTATTGTTCTTTATTCACGAATAAGCTGACGTTTCGGCGGATTTCGCCTTCCTCAGAGCCTGGAAAGGTCAAGTTGACAGCAATCCACTCGGCCAGACACCTCCATAACTAAACAAAGAAACTCTAAACCAAGATTTCAATCACGTTGAACACAGCCTTGCACACTCACCGCTTTCTATGAGGTTGCCACTAAGTATGTCACGTAGAGACCAACCGCACAGAAATCACGTGGAAGTATAATGTGCCCCTCCCATCAGAATAGCAGTCTTATATACTGCCCTATATCACGCGTGATAATGAGGCATTCTTCTCTGTCATTAATTTTCGGATTTCTGGAATTAATCCAGAACGCCTCGAGAGTTTTTCGCGCCTGTGTTCTTGATTCGCGTGCGAGGATCGTGACACATACTTCGAAGTCGTCCCCGTTATGTCTCTGGGTCCTATGCGTGCCTAGCGGGGTATTTGGTCTATTTTTGCCGGCTAGGTGTTCTTTTATGCGGACACAGAGGGGTCTACCCGTTTCGCCAATGTATTCGTCACCGCACGTCTTACGGGAGATCAGATAAACTATACCCGACCTCATGCAATCACCGTCTCTACCACTGGGGCAAATTATGCAATTTTGAGTTGCACATAGATGGCTCTCTTCCCGTGCACACGTTGGTTGCTGTTCGAAACATGTTTCTTATAAGCGCCCTTTTCGTGTGAGAGGGGTGAGAGGAGAGGTAATGAACCAAGATGTTTTTACTACTTGGCTTTCGGTACCACTTCGTAATGTAGCCATTTTCTGATAGGTGAATTTGTACGTTCAAAAATGGAAGCCATTTTTCTTTCGGCTTTTCACGGGTGAACTTGATATACTCTGACTGTGCGTTTAACAATTCGAAACATTTGTCCATTTCCTCTTGTGTTGAGAAAAGGACAAAGCAGTCGTCTACATACCTACAGTAGAGTAGCAGTCACCGGTGCTTCCACCTTAGACATAAATGCAATGGCAAGGCTTGGACCCAGTCGTTGTCCCATTGCCAATCCTCTTATTTGAGCGTAGTACTTTCCAGACCATCTGAAGATTGAGCAGCTCAAGCATTCTTTTAAGAGTGCCATCAGGTGCTCTATCTTGAAGCCATACATGTTCATTTCTCCTTCATGTTGTGTAAGGAGTTCGAATATGGCTTGCATTGCGGAGTCATTTGTATAAAGGGCGGTAACGTCGAAGGACTCCACGCACGCGCTGTTGGGCTGCGCAGTACGTAGACGATCCAGAAACATCTGGGTATTCGTAAGATGGGCTGGAATGTGTTTCAACAACTGGTTAAATATCAGGGTTAAAAACCATGTTATCCTGTCCGTTGGCCCGTCTACGCAGCTAATGATAGGTCTAACCTTAAATAGTGATGGATCGGTCTGATGGATATAGGGCAGTATAAAAACCTTATTCAAGCTCATGAATGGAGACGGATATCTTTTACTCATGCCAGAGTTCAGTGGAATTTGGTAGCTAAAAATCGTCTCAATTATTTTTCACAAGTGCTAACATCTATGACATAGCTGTGATTAAGACCAGAAGCCTACCACTAACTGTAGTTCTCTGTAACACAGAAACAAAAAACTAATCATGTATTAAGCAGTACCGATGTATGCACATTCACCAGCTCTCTATGTCCAAGTAAGGTAGTTCACCATAGGAACGACATTTAGATTTCTACTCTGGGGAGTGACCGCATCAAAAGCACTCGAAATGATGCCAGATGCCTCACTAGAAACTACATAGAACACAAAACAGTGGAACACATGTGTGTAGAAATATCCGGGGCACGTGTAGCGCAGTGATCGGAGGCGCCTTGCAATGCATATGGGGTCGATCTCTGTGCTCCAAACTCACCAAACCTCTCATCCTACACAAAACATTTAAACAAATGTGTCTAGAAATACCGGGACGCGTGTAGCGCAATGGTCTTGCAATGCACATGGAGTCGATCCTTGTGCCCCAAAATCATGCCTCTCATCCCTTCTGGGTCGGCGAATTGGTACCAGGCTTGTCTGGGAGGATGCTAGCACTGCCTCGATACATCAGTAGGCCACCGCGACAGAAAATTCTCATGACATGCAGTGAACATTACTAAAACAAAACAACAAGCCGTCGCTCTGTAAAGTCACAGCGGACGCAAAAGAAACGATCACACGGAAAAGTACGGGTGGTACCCAAAGTTTCGATCTTATCTTGTGTGGAATCTTCCAAATTTCCAAATCAACGCCGCCAATATGGCATATGAAAGCGCTTATATGAGAAGGGTTCCATCGTCTATTCCGCGGACAATTTGTCGAGAGGAGACTTAATGACGCGTGGTTGGTGAACCTTTGCATTACGAACTCAGCGATGCCTTTAGTTTTGAATGATAGGGCATTCTACGATTTCCCACTAGGATCCCTACCCGAAGAACAGAGAAACAAAACAATGTAGCTACCAAGAAGAACAAAATGTAGCTACCAAGAAGTGTGTCGAACGACCACTTATTTTCTGCTCAATTCTCCGTTTAAAAAAATAGACAATTTAAGTAGCGGAGAGAAAATGATTTTATTTTGCTTGGCACTTCTACGACCACTTTAGCAAAGATTGAATGCTAAGCATAACTGCACTCTATATTGCTAATTCAAACCTGTGCTATGTACGCTCTACACACATGGGTGCTGTCCGTGTGGGTGACCCTGCGTATCTGGCTTCAGTGCATTTAATCGAGAAAATCTTTCGCCTTTTACTACAGATTTCCGTGCACTGGAGCAATTATGAGTATTTGCCAATTTTTGGAATCCACTCGAAAGAGTGGGAAGTAAGAGTGACGAACGCAATTCAAAACGGCGTTGCTTAGCGCAAGCATGTGAAAATATGTGAGAGCGTAGTTCTGGAGATGGATGCATCAATATTTATAAGATAGCATCTGATTAGCCAGCGGTGATTCTGGGGGCCTATCCACTTTGTTTCTGGTGCGAGCTATTCTGTTATAAAATTGAGTTTTCATAAATACAACCACAACGTTGCTGAGATATTTGCAAAACTCTGGACCGCAGGTGTCTATGGTGGGGAACGAACGCGCTATTGCCCTTTCCGGGGAGTAACGCGTTCACCACCACACCATGCGGGGCCTTCGTTTCGCCTGTCTCTCAGCTATTTCTATCGGTGATTGCTGTGGCAAAAAGATCGATAGAAATAGCTGAGAGACAGGCGAAACGAAGGACCCGCATGGTGTGGTGGTGAACGCGTTACTCCCCGGAAAGGACAATAGCGCGTTCGTTCCCCACCATAGACACCTGCGGTCCAGAGTTTTGCAAATATCTCAGCAATGTTGTGGTTGTATTTCGCTTAGTAACCTGCCATGAAAATTATAGAAGGCAGAAAACAAAACGTTAAACTTTGCATAAATATTTTTCTCTGTCAGCAAGCCTACACGGAGCTGTTGAAACAAACGTTTTCTTGTTACTCGAATAATTTGGACAGTTGCAACAAGGTATCGACAGCACATCGACATTGTTTTGTGCAAGGTGTCGTTGCCGCAACGAGTCGAGTCCATTGAAGTGGAGTACGGTACGAATAGAAAAGCACCCGATTACATAAATACACGATTGCAATCATTGCGACGTTGATAAAGTTATCATAACGCAAGTCACATTTAAAAAAGACTTTTTCTTAGTACGAACTCTTTCATATCATCTTGTAGGGGCGAAAAATATTCATCATTAATGGTGAACTTGAGTAACAGAAACGCTTTTAGGAAATTGGAACGAGCCTTGTGGACGTCGGCAACTTTATGGACGACAATGGCACGAGAAAGAAATAAACGGAAGACGAGCCATCCAGGTGTTCAAGTAAGTAATGTGATATATCTCTCACATAAAACTGCTCGAGTTTGGAATCGTTCTCTTAACAGAATCGTTCAAAACTGTGTCCCACTGCGATAGTGTAAAAGACTTTTAATGGTAACACTAGTGTGGTATATAAAAATCACCAACTGTTCTGAACACTTCGTAGCTACGTACAATCACAAAACAACGTTCGGATAGCCACTCGTAGGGACGAATTTGCGGTGAAAGAATAGGATATGAAGCATCCGGCAGTGATCAATCTCTAGAGATGTGCGATCCGCTCAACTTCATCAAAAATCCTTTGAAGTTATTGGATGTATATTCGACTCATGCAATGACTTACGGTGGTCTACAGATATGTCAAATCAATGGTTTTATTCTACGAGACAAGAATAACGCCAGTTTGCCAAGAGCAGGATAGAGCAGAATGCCTGATGAGCACAGGGCGTGAGGTTGAACCAGCGAAGAGTCAAGTGTATTTTGCAGGATATAATCAGTGCTCTATCACATGTGCTTTGCTATAGGCGTAAAAACTTAGTTTCACACAAAAGGTGAGAATCCTCGTATTTCTCGCACGAGCATCGGATGAAGTCTTTGCCGGTTCCGGCTAGCATCACTGAGTAAGTAAGGAAGTTAGAATCGATTACGGTAATACTCGGAATTAATTCCTTCAACAAAAAAGCGAAATCATTTCTAATACACGAAGTGACACTCATTTTTCCATTCATTTTCATTTTTGTTGACAACTCTACCATGATTTTTCCTGAAATCCTCTAATAGTGGTGATACAGCCCTCTCAGGTCTTAACCACTCCCATTCGGCGCTCTTTGTGGATCATAAGAATTTTTGATACCTTGCATTTTGGGTTCTTTTCAGGCCAATAGCGATTTCTGTGACGACAGCGGATCGTACGATTTGTCGGCCATTAATAGCGATGTCCTCGGATCTCCCTCATACGAGGGATCTCGAGCCGGTTAGTCGCGAGACTACGTGGCGCGTCCCCAGGTAGCGGATAGGGGGTTAACCGCGGACCAAAAGCGACTTTCGCTTCCCTGAGACGCAGGGGGACCCAGGGAATGGACCCCCGTTTTTGTGGCACCGATTTGGCACACGCTTTTCGTATTTGCTAGGAGTATCCATGCACGCGTGTGCGGGTGCGTTTTCGCTTATGCGGATTGCATTCTATGAGTCAATTCGGCCAAAAGCCTGCAATCAAGTGACACGTAAGTATATGGGAGGCGGTTGGGAGTCGCCTACAGCAGATAAGCTCCATGTCCACTCTGGGAGAGCCTGGGAAGCTACCCGTGAGTATACCCAACTCCCACGTTCAGAGCCCAGCAAGCTATACGTGAGTATCAAAATGCTAAACACGGTAAAAAAAAAAACGGACCTCATTCCCCTGACCCCGGGAGAGCCCCCAGTTTCGCGGCGGACGAGTACAGAGAGGCTGCTAAAATCTCAGGGCCAATGGAAGCTGCCTGGATTATAAAGGACTATGATGATGATCTGCACCTACAATGCAAGTACACGTGCATCGGAGTCCTCGATAGAGTACTTGCTTATGCAAGCAAGAAGCATAAAGTACAACGTCATCGCCCTGGCCGAGACGAGACGACACCACCCATTCAACGCCGTCTATGACACCGGAGAAGAACTGTTCCTCGTAACATGCGACAGTAGAGGAGTCGTCGGCGTAGGCGTTCTCATCAACACGAGTTCGTCCATGAACATCGATTCATTCGAACAGCTTTTACAACCCGAATCGGATGTTTATGATTAAAAAGATGTGGATCAAAACCGGCTTTGACAATCTTCGTTGTTTACGCGCCAACGTCAAACTGTGACGAAGTAGTCGAAGCGTTCTATATGGACTTGGAGAAGTTTTATAGAGAAAACCACACATTCTTCTTCATTGGAGATTTCAACGCCGAGATTGGACCAGGAAGAGCGTCTGAAGAACATTACATTGGGACTCATGGCTTAGAATGGAACGAACAGGATGAGCGGCAATTTGAGTTTATCATGGCGACCAAGACCATCCATGGTAACTCGCAATTCCAGAAACCCCACCGTCAGCGCTGGACGTGGGAGTCTCCCAATGGAGAGTACCATAACGAAATAGACAGCATCATAGTCTAACCATAGAAAGTTTTGCCTAACCGATGTCGCTGTTGTCCCAAAATTCTGCACAGGATTAAACCACCGTCTCCTTCGTGCGAGACTCTATTTCTCGTGAAAAGCAGAAATTGCCGGTAGATTCAGAAACCGAAGTCCCAGAACCACCGTAAACTGGGACTTATTGAGTTCATTAGTCGGCTGTTGGGAAGAACCCGTTGTCGATAACATCGACGAAGAATATGATCGGCTCATTCAACATCTTCACGTTAGCGCTATGAAAGCTGAGGGTTCGA